GTGTTTAATGATCTCGTAGCTACCTATATTGTATTTAATTATGCTGACTTTCAATATCTTTTTTTTTAAATCACTGTGGTTATGTCCTGCATTTGGAGAAAAATTTAAGTCATTCATCAGATTTTCAAAGGCAGCTGCCTGATAAAATCTGCATGTTTAATTTCTGTGGTTTCGGTGAGGCCATGAACTAAAGTACTCCAAGTTTTTTTAAAGACCCCTCTAGTATAAAAATGTGTCCAGATTACTGAATTCAGTAGACATTATTGGGTCCAGCAGAATTCCCATGTAACATGACCAGTTTCAGCATTAGTACATTCTGTCCCTAACTTACAATTAACAATCTTTTTAAAAATTAAGAATGCAAGTATACTAATTTTATTAGCAAGCATAAAAGAATGAATGAGAAAGGAAAAATAAAATTAAATTAAAATTATGGTAATCACTACAACATGTTTTTCTTGAACCTCAAGTAACAATCTAGTTGTCATTACTCATAAAATCATCAGTTAGCTTTTCTGCCATCCATCATCCTGTAGAGGCACCTTTTGCTCTTTAAATTTCTATTTTTTAAGGTTGAGTAACTTTAATCAGAAAATATTATCTTAATGCCCATGAACACTTCCATTTTTAAACCTGTATATAACCATCCGATTTATTATTCTTAATATAAATAATATTGATGTCAGAGTTTGCCAATTACAGATAGCTTCCATGTAAACTAGATTAAATGACCTTGTCTAATTTGGAAACCAGTGAGTATACTTTGGCCACATACAGTTAACAAAAATGCACAAATACCTGGCAAAAACAGATGAGTAATGAATTTTACCAGACAAATAACTGTGTACCAGAACAAGTTGCCTACTTTTGGATGAAATCTGCTTTTTTAGACAGTATTTTAAAACCAAAGATATGTCCTTCCATACTTTAAGCACTGTAAAACACTGACAACTCTGTTTACTTGTACTCAGCAGGTTGCGCTGAATGAGCAGGACTCTTTCATATTAGAATTCCCATCAACGCATTCACTCATTTCTTGCAAAATATGCTTTAGATAATTGAATACTCAGTACTGAATTTGTTATAATGGTTTTGTTTTGTTTTGTTTTTAAGTGAGCTGAGCCATTTAGTTGAGTTCTAAACCCAGAACCACCACAAAGAGCAATTTACCAGATTTGGTCATACATACTTGCAAGAACTGTTAGTTCTGTCAGCATAGCAGTATCAACTGAAGAAAAGGAGACAAGAAGAAGTGCTTTTTTTGGCAGTCTAAGGGCCCTTTCTATAAGTAAAAATTATTCCTGTATATGTTACAACTGACATAATGTAAAACCCCCCACTTCTAATGCAGGACAGTAATAACGGGAAGTATGCAAACCTCACGGTGCCAGGAACCACTCCAGATGGAAATAGGTCGGTGTATCTCCTGCTGAAAGGCAGCAACGAAGACTGCGGTGTTATATTGCCAAAGCAATTCCCAACCATTTGATTTGAATTGTTTCTAAGGCAGTCTTTGGAGAAACTGAATGAAGACTATTTTGGTAAAAGATTCTCAGACTACGGAGAACTTGTGGATTTGTTAGTGATACAGGAATTTCATTTCACTCTGACAGTGACCTATTTTATTTAAAACTAATATTGCCATCTACATTATATAATCTATTCATCTAATTCATGGTATAATGTCAAAGGTATTACGTCCTGAATACCAGGACACAATCTGATGATCTTCTGATGTTACGCTTATGGCAAAATTAATTGTTGGATAATGCTGCCAGTTATTGACACTACTGCTAATAATATGCATCACGCTAATTTATTGCTGAAGTTACTACTATTCATACGCAACTTCCTTTGGTTGTCTGCTGAATCTTTGAATCTAATTTTACTGTAAGTAGCATTTTCCAAGATAGCAAATTTTAAACAGAAGGACATTATTTGCTTTAAAGTAGTTTTGACTTAATAAGTTTCATAAATACTGGTATGTGCCTTATGATTCTGCTCTGTGTGAGAATGCACATCGGATTACTAGTTGGATTGTTAGATGGGAACAGGCTACTGAAAATGAATCATCACTTTTTTTTTTTTTTAAGTAGAGGGTCTTTTTTGTCTTTCCTCCCATAGCCATCCAGTATTTTTTAATTTTAAAAATACAAACAAGACTGCTCCTCCCCTCTTTTTTCCTCCACAAAAAAATATGCAAAACCAACAATAGAAGACGTTTTCTGTATACCATGTTCAGGCAACTTGTAGGTCAACTGACATACCTTTTTTATGGTGGCTGTTACAGGTATGGGAATGCTGGTGAGATTGTGAGAGACAGTTTAGTTGCTTTACCTCTTGAAAAGATGCATCTCCCTGACTTGAGTGAGGAGAATTAAATTCAGGTCATGATCTGCTTAGGAACTCTGTATTTTTCTACTGTTTCCTGGGGATCCTGAGAAAGATTTATGAAAATTAATCCAGACTATAACTGTATTAATTATACCAGATTCACTAGGACAAGAGAGTGGGTATGTTTGCCCTCACAAAATTTTACCTTCCCTGATTTCAATTTCATCTTTTTAAAATAAACTTTTCTTTGATCACTGACCATCCCCAGTTGCAGAGGAAAACTTTAAGATATATACAATAATTCTCAGACATAATTATCTTTATTTATTTTAATCTCTCTCTCTTCTTTTTTTTTTTAATATGTGAGGTTAGCAGTACAGATCTCCAGCCACAGCCTAGCCACCCTCAGCTGCTTCTTCACCCCCACTATATGAAACAAAACTTCCCAGGCAAATAGTGGGGCATAATTTTGCAGCTACACTCAAGCCCTCAGCCATTCCACATGTTGATCTGGGTATGAGGGTAGGAAACTAACAGGTTGGTCCAAATATTTTATCATTTTGAAAGGAAGGCCCTTCCTGGTGTTTGACATGAACATCATTATCATTCAGCCTAACTCCAATGCCAGTTCAACAATCTACATATCCATGGGAAACATGAAATTTTGCTGCAATGTGCTTCAGTGTATCTGCTGGCACCTAACCTACTTGCTGAAAGAAAGAAAAATGCTGGATTGAAAATAATATACTGTCTTCCCCTTAGGAAATACAGAGCCTATGGATCTGTAGATTTTCCTGTTACTATTTTCTTGATGTCATAAGCATCTGGTCTCTTGAGATAGTGCATGAGACAGGACTCTTTCACTAGCCTTTGAAAACTGGCAGATTGCCCAGGCTGTCTTGGTTACACTAAGGAATACAGGGGGAGTAGCTGGAATTCAGTACTTCTCTAGTGGTCTGTCCTGGGTTGAGTGACTAGTGGGGTTTTTTGGTGGCAGGGGAGGGGGCTATAGGGGCGGCCCCCTGTGAGAAGCTTCTCAAAGCTCCCCCAGCTCCAAGCCAGCTCCACTTCTGTTTGGAAACTGAGCCCATCAGCTGCGCCTCTGCGATAACGTATTTAAGAAGGGACGTAGTGACAGGCAGTCGGACTTGTGAGGAGGAGTTGCTGCAGCTGCATGAACACCAAGGTCAGTGGAGGAACGGAGGAAGAAAGGAGGGGGGAGGTCTGCTGGAGAAGAGACCCCCCTGTATCCTGTGGTGAGACGGCAGGGCGGCCCCCCCTGCCACCCATGGAGATCTACGGTGGAGCAGACATTGATTTGTGGCCTGTTGTTCCTGCTCAGATGATCAAGGTGCTGTGCCTGAAGAAGGCCGGGGTCTCATGGGAAAAGGTAGCCCCGCTGCTGTAATTCAGTGCTGGGAGGATTGCAGCATGCGGGGGTATCCCACGCCGGAGCAGCTCGGGAAGGGCTGCAGCCGTGGGAGGGACTTCAGTTGGAGAAAGTTGGTGACCCATGACGGAGCAGTGTGGGGAACGCTGCGGCCCATGGGAGGGACTCATGTCAGAGAAAGTTTGTGGAGGACTGTCTCCTGTGAGAGGGGGACCACGATGGAGCAGGGGGAAGAATTTCCAGAAACTCCCTTCACCGAAGATGGAGAAAGCGGCAGCAGTGACTGCACCCCCCCATTCCCTGCCCCTGCACCACTATGGGGAGGAGGTTGAGATATCGGGAGCAGAGCTGAGCCTGGGAAGAAAGGAGGCGTGGGGGGAAGGTGTTCTCAAGATGTGGCAATGCTTCTCACTGTCCTACTCTGTTACATGTTGTTGGTGTCTGTAACAAAGGTACGGTTTTTTTTCTTCCCCTAACGAGTCTGTCTTTTTCTCGACCATAAAGGGGGATTTTTTCCCATACCAGTCCTATCTTGAACCCCAAGCCTAGCTCTCTGTCCCTTCTTATTGCCAGAAGAGAAGGGAGAGAGAAAGGCTGTGTGGTGGTTGGCTGCCGACCAGGCTCAAACCATGACATGGTCATGGTTGGGAAACAGACACCTCTAGTTGCTTAAGTCAGATAAGTTGGAAGAGTCATGCTGCTGCTGCTGCTTCTGAAATGTACCACAGAGTTCAGAAAGAACAAATGGCTGCTCTAGTAGTTGACTGAGCATGAAAGTTAGCACTTAGGCATTTTTCTTCTTCTAATGCTCCCTCAGTCCTAACAGCGCCACACAGAAACAATCTTAGATGCTTTACAAAGTAAGCCACCAAATGATGACACTCACAAACAGGTTTTTGCTTCCTTTTTTTAATATATTTTTAATGGAAAGGTACTTATTTGTTTCCTTATTTTTTTTTTCATAGCTTTTTCCCCCCTTATTTCTGTCGCATCCAAGTGGTAGAACCTTTTCACTAGTCATAATGTTTACTATCGATAATTTAGAATTAGATATTGTAAAGAAAATAAATCAAAAAAGTGGTAAATCTGATACAAAAGCTAAGCATTTTATTTCATTATATTCAGTTGTAAATTATTACAACATTAAACATGCTACTGTGGATCTCAGGGTATATGTTTTTTGGAAAATTATTTAAAAATGTATTATTTGCCATAGGAACTGCATAAGTTTTACTGTTGTAATAAAAGAAAATGTATCCTGAAGTATATTCAGCATATACTTATGATAAGATAGGTGTAAGAGATAAAATAATTTTAATTTCAACAACCAATCCTTTGCTCAAAATTATAACCTAATTTGCAAAATTTGGTTTAATTTTATGGTAAAAACTTGATGCTTAAATTTGCAGTTTTTCCCTAGGACAGTGTGACTACCTGCAGAATAGAGCAATTGCACTTCCATCTCTCTGAATAAATAGCAAAGCACCCCCTCTCAGCATACAGTCATAGACAGCCGTTTTGGGAACTACATGAAAGATTTTCCTGGGACTGCTCAGGAAGTGCTCTACCATAGTGACCCCTTCCATCCTTACCCAGCAGTCCTCTCCTTTCCTCATTAGGTACTTAACAGTTACATTAACATCTACCATAAAGCATGATGTTGGTGTAAGTACTGTTTAGTCTTGTTGCTTTGTAAATTGCAAAATCATGAACTTGCTTATTTATACTGGCATCCCCATAAAGAATATGGTATTCAGAAATACAAGCAAGCTATGAATCTTCGTATATTTTTACTGTATCCTTGGTTTGGGCTTTAAGGAAAATCAATGAAAGTGATAATCAGAGAATCAAAAGTTGACACCAGTTCTAATGTCTTGTTAGATGAACAAAGTAGGAAGAAACAAGAAAAGATAGTTAATTTTTTAAGTACGTTACACCCTACTGTTTTATGGCAGCCTGGTTTCACACCATTGTTATGACAGAAGAGGGACTTACCATGGCCAGTGCTGAAGACAGTCATCCTTTCAGTATTCTATGATACTGCTTCCAGCTGATAGAAGCTGGCATCATGATCCATTAGAGGAGGTCACTGTGCAAGTCGTGCATCAGAACAGGCTTCAAAACAGACTTTACACAATCAGACTTAAATCAAATGGAGGTAGTATGGAATTTGGTTTAAATAATCTTACACTTTATTTTAAAACTTTTAAAAAGCAATGCATTAGAACATATGATTTAGAATTTTTAAAATTCTGCTATATTTTATACTCAAAATAATAATCTCTGGAAGTCATTAATAAAAGTAAGGAAGCTGTTTGTTAGTCAATATGTATGACATAAAGTGCTGTAATAATTATTTTTATGCTATACAAGCAATTTTACCCATTAAGTGTGCACATTTTCTCTGCTTATTGTTGACCTGTTGCTAAGTATTTCACAAAAGTTTGCTCTGTCTTCAGAATTTGACACTCCAAACAGCCAGTTTAACAAATGAAAGAGCATGGATTATGACAAAAAATCTCAGCAGTGATTTTAGTAGAAACCTTAGCTTTGGGTTTGATTGGAGGGCAGCTTCTTCACTTTCTTTCATCTAGTGTTCCACCAGAAAAGTCCTCTGCAGAAGAGTCGGTTTTTTAATTCCAACCACTGTCAAGTCTTTATTTCTTAAAATATATATTCAGAAATATATATGAAAATGTAAGCTACATTAAAAAAAATGTTACTGGCATATTTTCTCTCTCTAGAAACAACACCTTGTGTCACAATATCTTTATATGTTGAATCTTTTTTTTCTATATTTCATATCACATATCATCCATCTTCACTTAGGACAAAGAAATGTTATCAGAGTCACTACTTAGATTTCTAAAATAGATTTCAGTCACGTTTTACAGGTCACTTAGAAATTGGTCTCAAGAAGTAAAAAAATGATTAGTGAACATTAATAATCAACTGAGGAAAGATACAAGACTTATCTGAATGTAAATATCAAGTATATAAAATATTATTCTGGATAACTACATATAAATATGGGTAATTAATGCTACTGTTTTCTCATACAGTAGCTCATATAGACTGTCCCTTAATAGCCTATTATTAGGTTAATTAAAGTTTCATTTTCCCAGATAGGATCATCTCATGTACTTCTTTGGTTAACAAGACATACGCTTTCTTAGAATTGTCCAAAAAATAAAGAGGATCAGTAATTGTAGATGGATTAAAACCTTCATCTACCAGTCGAAATTTTTGTTGTTTGAATGTTCCAGTCATTTCCATTTTTTCCTATAGAAGAGAGAAAGATTTACTGTTCAATAGAAGAGCTTCTTTTATTTTGTTCACATTCATGTTTGGTTTTGAAACTCTCACTTGATATAAGGTTAATACTGTTTATTCTTATTACTCTGGAAAACACCCAGATACATGGCGGAAAAAAGTTACAGCCCATTGCTTTCTGCATCACTGTGCAGTGCCTCATCACAGTGTCTCATATGGTGTATCCCCAGCCTGCCTGAGACAATCTATAGCTTCCTCAGTTGTGCACATTATGGAGTTACACATCATAAAGAATCTGAGAGTAAAAACTTAACTATCAACAACTTCTTACTGATAGAACTCAGGAAATTCTCTATGATTATTGTAACGTTAAATAAAGGGTTGAAATAATGTCATAGTAAATCAGCCACATGCATACTCAGCCAGGTCCAAATAAAGGTGGATCTTTACCATATATTTTATAATGTTCTCAAGCTTCTTTTCAGTGTCACTGTACCCCCTACCAGCAGGAGGCATTGCTATTGAGACTTTCTCTATCCTCCCTACCTCTTCTCAGCCCCACTTTATGACCTCTATCCATTATCTTCTCTTTTGTCTTTACATTTTTATATATATGCATAGAACCTCCAAAACCAAAAAATGATCTCCAACAACTCAGAGAGCTATTGTATCTACTCCAGATTTACCTTCAGATTGTATCTACCTGTTTTTTTTGGTCTAAGAAACATTCTGACATGTTCTAAAGTATGATTATATGTCAGATCAAGTTCAGCAGGTTTCTAATTTTTTCCCTTGAAGTTCCAACCACTACCTTATTTCTTAGTTAATGACAGCTGTACCAACATTCATCGTTAATGTAGGCATTTAAATTTTTATCAAAGTTCCAGATGCTCGATGTCAAAGCTACATCCAAGATTCAGATTCCTTCTGCCCAGCATAAGGACTTTTTTGTACATACGTATAGCAAAAAATATAGACTACGTTCTCATCATTTCATAAACTGACTACTGCAACATTCTCAAGTGTAATCTCGCTTGTTCGTATCAGAATGCTGCTGCAAAAGGTACCTTCCTGGCTTTATGAGATGGATGGATGGATGGATGGATGGATGGATGGATGGATGGATGGATGGATGGATAGATAGATAGATAGATAGATAGATAGATAGATAGATAGATAGATAGATAGATAGATATTTCAGTTTCAAGGTCCTTCATAGCCTTTTCCTTTCCCCCCCCTTCATTCTGAATCAGTATTCAATCTCTGATTGGCTCAGAGAACAAACTTCCATACCTTATATTCTTTTTTCAAACACTTATTATTTATTTCATCTTTTCCTCAGACTTAGGAGACTTCCTTCATAAGTATTTTCAAAAACAATTTTATGTTTGCGTTTGTCATGATGTTTTCAAAACACCAGAAATGCAGATGCTTATCAGGCTTCACTTATCATAATGATTAGTGTTGTATATTTTCTATATTCTCCCATTTTTTTCTAGTCATATGTAGCTGCTTGTATTGCATTCACATTTTTAACTCTTTGGTGGAGGGACTAGTTTTTTTCCCAAATTGGACAGTTACTACAGCAAAGTACTAGTACACAACTACAGAATACTTTGATGATTATGGTGGTGACAATAATAACGTACATTCCTAATTCACTTTTTCAATTTTCCTAGTACCTTTTCAAATGCTTTAACTTTTGTTATTATATTAAGCAACAAATAATATTTAAATTATTGTGCACAGTGTCTCCTGCTTTACCTCTACTTCTCTCATTTCCACTGAACAAAAAGGATTTTAGATTTTTTTCTCTAGATGCAATTGTTCACATTTTGCTAATCTGAATCTTTTTGTTTTCCCGTGTTCATGCTTCTAATCTCCCTAAATCCTTTTGTATGATCTATATCCTTACTCATTTGTACAATTTCTCCCATTTTAACATAATCTTCAAATTTTATTGACTTTTTGTGTAATTCCTTTCCCAGGGCTTCATTAATGAAGACAGCAAATATGACCAGTACTAAAACTAATCAAGTGATATATAAGCAAGCACTTTCTTTTATTCATTTAGCCATCTCTGTGTTCAAATGATGTAGATGTTTGTACGCACTGTACAATAATGGAGCTTACCTGGACTCTTAAAAAAAGAGGACAAGCGTAACTTGGTAGATAGGTCACTACTTGCTTATACATTTGCTCCAAGTCTAATGATGTATTCTGCTTTAAAATAAGAGAGGCCATTCCTGCTTTTCCTTCATAATCTAGGGGAAAGCAAGTGAGATGAGAATTTTAGAACATGAATGAACTTGACATTTTAATGCTGAACCTTACGAAAAAGAACTGTAGTGCATTAATAAACTGAAAGTCATATATCATCTTCTGAGTTTCAGTAAAGATGGAAGATTACATTATATGGTATTACATATATTTGGAGATGACTCAAGAGATCAATTAAGCAATAATGCTGTAAATGAGTTTGGCAGGTAAAAGCAAATGGAGTCCCATGCTCAATAGAAGTCAATAAATGTGGATAAACATCAACATCATTACTCTCTCAAAACCAAAAGTGCTGAGCCTCTTTCGTGGATTAGCCAATTACATCTTCTCTTCAGTTTTAGCCCTTCTCTATTGCTGGTATCTCGTCTCAAAACTGGATCTGAATGTTGTTAACAGAGATATTAAAAGTTCTTACTGGTTTGTCTGGAAAGAGAGTACTGTGGGTCTACGGGAAAGACCAAAATGGGTAAAATATAAATGCAATGAGCTTCAGCAAGTAAAAATAACTGCACACTTTAAGCATCAGCTAGTAATAACATGAGATATTCTGCCATCCTTATCTTTTGTCTCCTTTTTAATTTTTTTTTTTTTGCTAATTCTACAAAATCTGTAAGAAATTTGATTTGTTTAAGTGCAAATATCAAAACAGTTGCATAAATTGGGTAGGAATCTGCAGGTAAATGTTGTACAGTAAATGAGAAGCTCTCATATTTCTGAGTAAGTCTTCTTTACTATGATTACATTGTGTTACTAGAGGTGACACCTTTTTCACATTTTAAACACTTTTATCATTTTGTATATCATCCTGGCCAACAACCAAACATCCAGCCAGCTTCTCACTCACTCCCTTCTCCCATGGGATGGGAAGGGAATAGATAGGAAGTAAGAAGAGTCATGTATCAAGATAATGGTAGTTTAATAGGGAAAGCAAAAGCTGCATGCACAAGCAAAGCAAAACCAGGACTTTATTTCCTATTGTCAGGCAGATGTCCAGCTGCTTCCTGCAAGGCAAGGCCTCACTCAGCACATGCAGTGGTGGCTTGGTAAGACAAATGCCATAACCACAAATGTCTCACCCACTTCCTTTCCCCAAGCTTTTATTACTCAGCATGGCATCATACAATATGGAATATTCCTTTGGTCAGTTTGAGCCCACTGTCCTATCCAAATCTGCTCTCAATTTCTTGCCCGCCACCAGCATACTTGCTGCAGGGAGAAAGCCTTGATATGGTGCAAGTTTGTTTCTTGACAGCCAAGCATTTGTAAGTTATAAACACTGTTTTAGCCACCAATGCAAAGCACAGCACTGTACAGACTCCTATAAAGAAACTTATCTCTATCCCAGCTGGTACACATTTAAAAAAAAGATTTAGCATGAATGGGCATCAAGCGCAGATGATCTCATGAAAATTAACAAACAAACAAACAAAAAATAATGCATTTTATTTATTTATTTATAATTTATTTACTTTTATCTTCATTTTATCTTTCACCTTGTCCTTGTTTTTTTTTTTTTAATATATCTGTTTAAAAATGGTTTATGAGGCTAAGTGAAAAGTGAAATAAGACAGAAGAATGTCTTCATACACTTCCCTTTAGAGTTACTTTAATTCTTACCTTGTTGACATTTATTTTGACACAGGGATGTGTGGTTTTTCCATGGATGTGAATTTAATAAATTTTCAAACTTTAATTTAGATTATGTAGCTATCACATATTCATGAAAGATAAATTTTCAAAAATACACATTGCTGCATACACATAAAATGCATGATTCACTGGCTCGTTCACAATCTGGTGGTATTTTCATTATTTACATCTACGTTTTAGCTAGGTATTAAACAGATAACTCAGTCAGAAGTGATTCATAGGTTTAAAACATAAAATAAAAGAGCTATGAGGTTTAACAACTAGGCTAGGGGAAGAAAAACATACAACTAAAGCTTCTTTTACCTGGCACAGATACACCATACACATTTGCTTCTTGTATGAAATCCAACATTACAATGACATCAGAAACTTCTGTAGTTGCAACATTCTCCCCTTTCCATCTGAAACATGTGAAAAAATAATTTCATCCCATGAAAACATAAGGACACTTCCTCCTTAAAAAATCATTAACTTTAGTGGGAACTCCATTCATTTCAGATTAACAACACCTCAGCATATTGATCTGATCACCATAAGACAATGCTTGCAATTCAAATTGCACTGGATATTAGCTATCACTATAAAGCACAATAAAATCTTATCATAATCTGATATAATGGTTTTCAAAATTTTGACACATATCTAAATGTATCAAATGTGATCAGTCTTTACTATTTGTATTACATTTTTCTCCACTTCAGTATCCAACTTCCTTGCTCACAGCAAAACCATCACTTGTTACTATGCTTATTGGGGGGACTGTTCAAAGAGCTGGAATTCCTTCAAGACATTCTGGAAATGAACTATCCAGCTCCATGGGAACACTTTTTACAAAATTAAGCCCCTACCATCCACTTCAAGATCATTACAAACTACATCACAGTAGTAATAAACCGAACACTTCTGGTTGAAAACAAATAGGACAGTGTTATTCTATTCTGCATGTCCATGATTTTTAATGAAGAAATGTGACAAGAAACAATTATTATACCTGAAGGTATCTCCAATCCTGTCCCAAAAATAAAGAAAATTCTCATGGTCTTGAACCATTAGATCTCCAGTATTAAAATAAAGATCTCCCTTCGTAAATACCTCACAGAGTAATTTCTTTTCTGTGTGTCTCTTATTGCCAGCGTAACCAAAGAAGGGGTTCTTCGCATTGACTTTGGAAATTAGAAGACCAGCCTCACCTATACAGAGAAGTTGAAACAATGTAAACCTAAGGTATTACTGCACAATTCCTTCCTATCCTTTACATTAATATTAATTTAGTACATACCATTTTCCAAGACCAGGAACCCAGTTTGGCACAGTTCAGTACATAAGACCCAATAATAAAAACTCACTGTTTCTACTGCTTTGCAATATCTGTGGTCATCTCTACACGCAAAGTCACCATAAAGACACAGTACAATACTGTCCACTCCAATTCCCAGTCTTTTTTATTTCTTCCTGATCACTCATCAGACGGTTTTCTCCCAGAACTTTCACCTATCAACTGTGAGTTCACTAGTAGGTTTACTATCCTATCAAAGTGCACACTTCAAGCGGATATTATGTCCCAGCCCCTACACCTTACTGAATTCCCAGTGATGACTCTCAATTTCATCATCTTCCTACCGAAAAACTATTGTTAATAAAAAGCAGGTGTTCAATCGAGGCATTAGATCCCTATTTAATCTCCTTTCACAAGTTGTGAGAACAGTTCTTAAGAATTTTCATTAATGTGATATAATCTCATTCCTTTCCTTTTGGAGTAAAACATAAATGTTTTAATATTTTTTTTTTTCTCAAAAAACAGGGAGAGATGGGGATAGGATTATCCTGTTACACATGTAGAGTATCAGGGTGTTAGTTTGCTGGAAGTGGAATAGTTGTATGAACTCCAACCCTTTTCAAAGCACATTCTGAACAAGAAAGCTTAAGAGTTGCACTACTTTGTATCAGAGAGAAGAATTATAAATATGAAAATACATAAAAATAAAAACGTGTCCAAAGCTATGCACACTTTTTAATTTGATACTGCCTCCTCATAAAAGAGCTGTGCCTTTTTTCCATAAATCGGTAGTGCTTAAGATGAAAGCATTTAGTTCACTGGTAGTTTCACTGCAGCCATGATGCTCTGAAGATACAGGGCATGGGTAAGACAAAGTCTGTAGAGATAGTATTTTTTATTAGACTGACTGGTATAATTGGAAAAAAATTAGACCAGGTGACTAATTACAACATATGTTCCCTTCACAGGTCAGTCTGACATCCCTACAGAAAATTTCCTGTAAAACTTTGTATTTTGGGGACCATATTTTTCTGAAAGTGCCCATCTTTGATTAAAACCTGTTAAAGAATCTTTTAACTCCTTTGAAAAACCTTCTTCAGCTCCCTGTTGAAGCTGTTTGTCTGGCCTTCAAAACAAGTGTTTCTTGCTTCAGCTTCCAGGCATTACTTACAGCTATTATGTTCCAACGGTAAAATAGAGATGCTTCACTATCTGATAAACACTTTGAAAACAGGTATAATCAAGAGATATCAGATATTTGGTAAGTATTTTGAAGACAGCTATAGTCAAGCAACCTCTTTTTTTTTTTTTTTTTTTTTTAATGAAAAAAATGATAAACTTAATCAACTCACTTAGTCAGGAATACTTAATCTCTCACTGAAAAGCATTTGCTCTAATCCACCAGCCCTCCTTGTAGATTTCTTAGGCAACCATCTCACTGTGTTAAACTCCTTTAAAAGCACAGATGTTACCATAGTACAGTAACACAATAGCAAGGCTCCTTAAAAATATTCTCTGGAGTATTTGTATTACAATCAAAAGGCCATTATATCCTATTAAAATACATACTTACCTTTCTTAACTTTTTCACACCAACCATGCTTATTTCTAATTGGTTCATCTTTTTGGAAATCATACTTGATTAAATCAAATGGGAAAAAAAGCTAAAAAAGGGAAAAAGTGTCATCCGTTATTCATCTGCACAGTGACATCTGGTGGTAGCAAATACAAGCAAGGAAACCTTTATCCAACCTTGCTCATCTAAAAGCAGAATGTAGTTTCATTTAAAACCAAGAACAGTCTGCATGTAAACTTACACTGTTTCTTGGAGGTAAGCAGCATCAAAACATTTTTATAATCTTGAAACTTTCTAAAACAGTTGGTGAAGACATAGAACCATAATTTTGTTAATTTTCTTACAAATAAGTTATGGGATCCACATATCAGTGAAAGAGCCTACATGAGTCAGAATAGAAGCATAACTGGAATTTAACTGACACTTAATGGTGGTGGCTGATATGAAAAGTGTTCTTGGTGTCTTCTGGCACCTAAAATAATGGGCAAAGCAAAGGCCTAAATCTCCTTATAAAGGGAAACCAACTTCCTGTTGGGCTTTACTCTTGCTTAATTAGCTTTGATTCTTCCCTCAGGCTTTCTCAGGCTGGTGTATGGTGGGAAGTCTTCGCATGAGCACCAGCATAAGTGTATGTACTCCTGTATTCTTTGACATAGGTATGTAGCTGTGCACATTCCACAGTTAAAGATTTTTTGGAAATACTTTGAACCCTTAGTTCTGCTGATGTAACTGACCTTACAGTTATGTTTTACAAATAACCTTCCTCTTGTATAGGGATCACAGATAGAATGCAGCTCTGAGTAAGCTGAAGGAGAAGGCAAGATACTTGTATCAACATTAGAAACTGCAGTATTTTTTTTTCTCCAGTATACAGGGTCTAACTCCTATTTCGCTTAGTTTTTCAACTATGATACAAAGCCAAATTAGACCTTTAAGAGTCATTGACAGATACCATATGCCTGATACTATCTGGACCACTGTCTTTGCAGTTGTTACCCTAAGGCTTCAGTTTGCCTGGCTTGGGATTCTAATTTCCCTTCTCATAAAGGAGTATATCAGCAATCTATTTAACGACTAGTCAAACTGAGTATATCAATTATCTTCTCCTGGAGAAATCTTGGCAATAAGAGAAAACAGTTTTGAAAACATATGAATATAAACCTGCAGTCTTCACAATAAAGAAATGCAATATAATTTAAGGATGGTGTTATGAAAGTCACTAAAGGTTAGGATGCTAAAACATAAACCCCTTTGCTTTTCTGCAACCAGTTTCGATGAAGAGTTGCATTATTATTTCATCCTAATTTGAAATGTGGCTGTAGCTATATTACATAATTTTGTTTTCAAGGAATTCTGAATAAATAGCACCTTGAATCAAACATCAAGCACACAATTTCAGCCTTATATGGACAAACTTGTTTCACTGAGTCTTTTCAGTGTTCACCACTGTTTTCCTTCTACCGTAAGTCTGAAAACAAAAAAGATGTTTTTAATAGTTGATCAAAGGAATAAGGTCACAGTGTGCAAAATCAAGTAATGATACAAGAATTGGACACTTTTTGAATAGTGAAGGGTATCTTTTTTAATAACTACAAACTATACACTTACCAAAGCCAAGAATTTGAGAGCCAAAAAGATCACCTTAATTAGAAAATAACCGTATTTTTTTGATGAACAAAATAGGAGGAATTAATTATAAACACAAGTCCTTTTTTCTTAGAGTCTTTTCTTTTGGCTGTCTACATTTAACTGGTGTTCTCTTACATTTTGATTTTCACATTTATGTTTACTGCTTTAATAGGTTTCATACGACAGGCCAAATGGAATAACATAAATAATAATAAAGAAATAGTGTAAAATGAAATGTAGCATGCACTGTTCAGTTCTATATTTATCTGTTCATTCCTTCAGAGCTCAAGAGCTGTATCTTGTCAACATATAAGTCTGTATGATGCAATATTCTAAGTTGCTATAAATACTGAGAAACTTTAGTATCTGAGATCATCTAAAAACTGTTGAGACTTTTACTATTTATGTTGCTTCATACATATTTTAGTGCATGTAATTTTAGAGTATTAACTATGGTTATTCCAGTTAGCTTTCTGAAACAATAGTCATGGAAATACATAAAAGGAGAAAACACCACATATTGCATTAGACATGCATAATGAAACTATGCCAACATACATTCCATGCAAATAGCTGTCTGTGTGCAAACAGACTTCTTTTCATATTAAATACTAGAAAATGAAACCTCCAGAGCAAAGCATTTAGTCTGGGTATAGGCCTACATTTGTTTTATCTCATTATTTAAGATACATTGGAAAAAAGGGCCTGAGCTGTTGAAGCATTACAATGTCATTTTCACCGAGTACTTCATGCAGCATTCATCATTTTAATCGACATCTTACTCCCTAAAGCACTGCATAAAGGTGCCAAATAAAAAGCATCATTTATCTAGCTGAAACTTAGAATGAGTTAAATTCAACTTTAATGTTTATTACTATGCTTCCTGGATGTTATCTAATAACAGTACTTCCCTCCCTTCCCTCCTCCTTTTTTTTTTTTTTTTAATTGACTGGAAATTCGTGAGTTTAAATAATGTTTGAAAATAGTTTTGAAAATCCTAAAGTTTCAATTTATAGTGACTGTTCACAGAATGTTCATCGGAGAACAAAGATCACAAGCTATTGCTTTGTAGTTAGTTATTTGTTTTAGGGAACAGATGCTGTTGAATTCTCTAGGATAATATATGTTTATAAACCAAAGCATTACTGTTACTAGATATTATTCCAAGCATCTTAAAAAAGCAAAATGTAAGAAAAATAAAGAATAAATTATGGAGCATAGTATCATGATATCTTATAGGTGTTTTAAAAATATACTTGTAATGCCTTATTTATGCTGTAAAGAGTAGATACATAGGTCCTCTGCATAGTTTTGTTAGCCAAAGTAAACAAAACCAAGAAAAAAAAAAATTTAAAGCCCTGCCTGATATTAACTGAATCACCACATATTGTAACAAAATATCCTGAAATACAGTTGATGCACCTTAGCTTATTTTAGCTTGAAACTAGTCAAAAGAGCAGAAACAACCTAAATTTCACTGGCCAATTAACTTAAAAGCTTCCATTGCTTGGATTAACATGTTTCAATGTTCTTTCTGTGAAGCCGGTTTTCTACGGTCTTAAGATCTGCTTAAACATAACTTTGTTTGCTTTTAAACTAAGAAGTATCTCTTCTGCCACTTAAGTTCTGTGACTGTATGAAAAAAGTGCATAATACTAATTCTGCATTGCTGTGTGAAAGACAAAATATTATATATGTTGAAATGATTTATGATTTGCTGTAAGATTTAAATGTTTCTCAGCTCAAAGCTGATTTTGATCCATATAGTTTTGTGTAAGAGGTTTAGATTCCTCTATTAGTTGGAATACTTATGCTTAAGATGATGAAAAAATACATTTATAAATACAGTTTGGAATATTTTTTTTAATATGCTGTTTTTTCAGAGGTACTTGCCATGGGTTATTTTTAGCCCTTCCTACAAGCTTCCTTGGATCTCATTAGTCCCACTTTCTCATTGCATGTTCTCTACCATCACTTGGAATTTATTTCAGTGTAAGAAAGAGATTTTTGCTTATATATATTTGGTAGATATGAGATAGTCTGAGAGTCTTACAGATTTTTCCCATATCACATCTATATAAATACACACATAATTTATACAACAGATAATAAAATTAATCATTATTAACTACACTCATATGTATGCCAGATGTAAATATTCACCAGTAATTTATTATATTACTGTGTTAATCTATACATTATCTTCTTTGTAAAACATTTTAAGTTTTACCAGCTAAAAAGCTATTCTGAGGCATCTAATATTCTGTTCGTTGACTCTACATGAACATCCTTATTGAAGGACTTATTCGTATACCACAGTGATGCTTTCAAGCACATGAACCAATCCCTCTTATATAAAGTATAGTGTGAAAAGTGCAAACAAGAGCACCGCTTTGAGTTAACATCTCACACACAGTGGCTTCTTGGATGTCTGATAACTGCTGTAATGTTAATCTGTTTCTTCCTATTAACTCATGCCTTCCAAATTATTTATAAAAACAAATCTGTTATGTAGAACCTTAATATTTATCACAAGTATTTGTTCCCAGTCGTTGGTAGTTACTGACAAAACAGTTACTTTGCTCATTCCGAGGGCTCAATTTGTCCTTTAAAGCTGTAACTTTTGTCTGCCTTTCAACTTTAGAAACTGTGCCACTGCCATTACCTACAACAGAAATGTCTTCCTATTTCTTTTCTGTATTCCCTGATAAAAATACTATACTTTGAACCTATGTGCTATTATTCCCACTAATATCTGTATGTATGGGTTTTTATACTGCATTTACTTTATTCTGACTGTGCGATTATGCCAACAGAAAGAGAGCAAGTTTCTTCCTTCTGCTTTACTGTATCACATATATGAACACAAAAGCCTCTTTTCCCCTTTCCCAGTTCCCTTTCTTCTATTCCCAGTTTAAGAAATAAGTACTTATGAAATCCCCAGAGAGTATGCCTAAGGGTATCTCCTAATATCACCCCATGTGTTGAGAGAATAATGTTTCAACAGTTGTAGTATTTCTTTGAAGACACACACACAAAAAAATAGGAATTGGATGACTGAGCCCTGTCTGTGCCATTCTCTGCTTTCCAGCAGGAGACAGTCTCCCTTTCCAACTTCAGACCATTCATGGGTCAGCAAATCAGCAATAAAACTGCTCTCCTTTACATATTGCTAGGTGTCCAGTGGATGTAATTCATACTGAAGTAAAACACGCACAACAGCTACACTTCAAAATGCATTGTTTAATAATCTGTAACCTGTAAAATGTATTTAAAAAAAAAAAAACAAACCACAACAAATGCCTGAAATAAGTCAAAATGAACTTATCTATGGCATTATAACACATAGTTTGTGTCACAACACTCACAGATTGCGAAGTAATCAAAAACACATATAAAAGGTTCCCACTTAAGTATTTGTTTAAATATGTATTTTTTGTTTGTTTGTTTGTTTGTTTGTTTAAAAAAAGAAAACCAATAAAAAGTATGTGTCATGATACTTTCAACATTCCTTCTCTCTCTCAATCTTTTCCAGACTTCTCTGAAACTGCACTATATCTAAGCCCTGTCCATGTCAACACTATTCTGCTTCAGCACATGAGGGAGCTAGCTGCAAAACAAGTGTGATGAAGCAGGCTGAATGAACTGCCATCCAGAGATTGCAGAACTGTTAATTTGAGACGTGTAATTACTGTAATATTATTAATAGGCCATATTGTTCCACTGACACAAATTCTTTCAGGGGGAGAGACTGTCTATGTTGAACAACTATAAATTCTCTGGTCAAAATATATTACTTATGAAAAAGCTCCTGACGGAGCTTTGGAGTAGCCTCTGAAACCTCCTTGATTTGGAAGCAATTTGAGACAGTTCTTTTCCCACATAAAATGGGTCATATAATCCACCCACTGACCTGGCTAGACATACCATGCCTGTGTAACCAAGGTGAGGTAGTTCATCTCTGCACTCAATCTGGTTTTCAGTGACAACCTTCATTCTTCCCTCAAACTCTACCATCACAGAATGCCAAATGTATATACACTGAGAGAAGGGTTGGGAGCCAATACACATCAGGCCCCCTGGAGAATGGTAGTAGCTAAATATTGAGGCTGCTCACAAATAACGTGCTTTAGCTATTTTCTTTATGACAGAAACTATGGAAATAACTGAAGACTCACCGTAGATTTATTTCTAGGGAAAAGACAGTATTGAAAAAGAATAAAATGGATCTCAAGCCAAGCCAAATGGAATGAACAGTTTTTTCTGGTTCATAAAATATCTTATGGTCTTTCCATATTCATACTGAGTAAGCAAGGGGGACAATCTGTAATTATCTTAGCAGACTATACTTACGTGTCCATAGACTATAACAGTTCCAACTTGGAATAGTATATAAATTATAAAAAAGATGTCTAGTGATATATTCAGTTAAAACTGCATTTATATTTTAATTGCAGGTTACATGAGCTATTTTTTCTTCCAATCTGCAGTAACTAACTCAAATCCTAATTCCAATCATTGAAGAGGAAAAAGTAGCATGTTTCATGTGCAAAGAACTCCAAAATACAAAACTTCCTTTTGGAACCTTCCTCTTGGAAACACAAACAGCACAGGTAATGGATATGAAGTGCCACTATTAAGACATGCAAACCCGCCCGCACTACTTGATTAAAAATTCAGATAATGAAATCAATAAATAGATAATTTCAAATCTAATCCTTTATCTGCTGTAACCTTTTACTGGGCATTTCTAAAAGATTAATGACTTATGACAAAACTCTGTCAAAAGTTCTGAAATACTGGAAACAATTTACTCAGGTTTGGAATAAATACGAGATTTCATGAGGTAAAAAGTTTTAAAATAATTAAAGCATGCAGTTTAGAAAAGTCTGAAACAAAAATTAATACCAGCTCAAAGGTTCCTGGTTCACCTACTACTCCTTAAATTCCAGATTCCTGATTTCCTGTAGTGGATCTGTACCCTTCTAGAGACATGCATCAGAACCAGATGTCCACTGTGCATAATACAAAGCATCAGTCATGTAGAATAGAGAATCAACAGAGTAGGTGTGATTAAATTCCTGAGCTCTCAATAGTTTCTGAAAAACATACTAGCTCCTGTGGTGTTCTTCTGAGTCTTTCCAGGTTTCTCCCTGCAGTCTGGGTTCCTATCCCAGAACTGAAGAATTCCTCTGGCCCCAAGTTGTAAAATAGTCTGCGGTGATTGTAATGCAATGATGTTGTACTGGAATTGTGGACCCTGGAACATATGCTGTCTAGAAATCTATGTGCACATCATCAGAAGATACCTCTGATGTATTTTCAAAACAATATTTTTGCATAATTATCTGAAAAAAAGTTTTGTCAGGACATTTTGCTATCAGTTCTCCTTATGAGCCCAAATACCACTTAAGTCAGCAGAATATGTATACATGCATAGGTATCTCAGTAAATTTGCAAATTCTAGGCAATACATGTAGTCTTACCTATTTCAAGAGTAAAAGTTGGTGTAAATAACAACATAATGTGAAATATCTAGTCTCCTTGCTAGAAAGCCTTGCTAAATAATCTTTCATATTTTTAGCTAAAGCTTGGGACATGTGTTACTGACTTCTCAAACCATTTAAGAGATGTTATTAATAGGACCCAAAGCGGAAAATCTATCTGTGAATTTCAGGCTGAAATAAATTCTTCTTTATTTACTCAGAAGGGTGAAGGAAAATCCACTATGTGTGATATAAATAATATGTATTCTTCTTCCCCAAGACATACAACCTCCATTGTCAAAGCTGATGGAATATAAATCAGAGACTATTGAATAAGCAGTGAAAAAAAGTATGTTTTTTCTAAGTTTAGTAATCTAAAACAAACAAAACAAATATAGCAGGCTTAGTAAATAAAGGGGCGTAAAGTATTTAAATTAATACCCTTGGCAAGTATTGTCTGTCACAATTACTCAACAGTGATTATATTTATATTGTGTAATCTTTGAAACTTATGAATAATGATACAGACTAGACGCAGAATAGTTTGAGTTACTTATGCTGAAATACACCTAGGTATAAAATACCTCTTAAAGTTGTATCTGCATGTATGTTTACTTTAATTAGTATTAATTCCCATTTATGCTAAATATTTACATAGTAATATGCACTATAAATATACTCTTTGAAAATAGCTCTAAATATAATCTGTAGAACACTAAATCAGAACAGGACACTTGTATGTTTATTTCACAGATGATGAGCACTTAGGTATTAAAACAAATCCAACTTCCTCTTTAATACAGTAGGGATTTGAAATGATACTCGGAACCTAATCAAAACTGTCAGAAGAGAGGCAAGGCCTTTTTGACTCTTGTGAACTTTAAGAAAAATCCAAGTGTGACTGCTGAAAGTATAACTGGGTTAGGTACTAAGCACTATCTGCAATACTTTGGCAGCCAAGATTTTACAGATGGTCAATTAAACTTGCAATAACTAAGTTAGAAAATTTACCTTGGACTTACAACTGCATCCCCATGTCCTGTGATCAAACTGAGAAACACAATTACCTTCAGCACTCCCTTTTGCAAAGTACAGTGTAATTAGTCACCTTATAAAAGAAATTGGTGCGTCCAACAGATCCAATTTTTCCTGTGTGGTTCACGAAACAAATGTTTCCTTCAGTAGCACCATAAAATTCACAGATCTTAATAGCGCCAAATCTGTCTAAAAATTCTCTCCATACATCATTTCTTACTCCATTTCCAACTGCTAGTCGGACTTTGTGATTTTTTTCTCCTTCTTTCTGTTAAAAAAAGAAAAAAAAATATAATGTACTAATAACTGCATTAGATTGTTACATATGTTGTGAGGAAAATGTACCTTCTTTAAATACATCAAGTATACACAACAACAAAAAAATAAAAACAACAATTAAGAAGTTAAAAGAAAGCTGGCATAGATTGTCTACAGCTACAATGTAGCAAACTGCAATCAAAAACCTATTATCTTGTTGAACAAGCAAATTATTTCCTGAATAGTGGCTACATTACTTTATATAAATGCTTCCATATTTTAAAAGTTGCCTCATCTCAGTCTGTTTCCACTCAAAAGAATTAGAAAACTGGGAAGAACAGAGAAAAACAGGAATTATTTCTGTCAAGGGATTAAAGTCAGCAGAGATTAATAGTTACTTTCTTGTGTCTTCAGACTGATTATAAGAAACAATCAGATTTCACACACTTGTAATATCTGTTCCTTCCCACACATTGCATCTGAGTCATCTTCTGTATTTCTTTCAATATTAAGACTTGCAAGGTTTTGTTCAATGTTACTTGGAATACACTATTTCTTTGTGATCTTGGGTCTTTCCTGTTGTCAACTCCCAAGTTTTATTACAAGAAACACAATCATATGTATACATCCAGTTCAGTGAGACTCTTAAATTTTATTAATACATTCCCAAACATTGCAATCACTTGGAGCACCTTTAAGATACAATCAAATTTAAGTTAAATTATCAGAAGGCAAAAGATCTAAAATGGTATGGTTTTTTTTTTGTTGTTTTTTTGTTTTGTTTTTTTTTTTTCCACCCATTTAAATATAAGATTCCTTTTTTAATCATTGCAAGTGGCATTACAGAATGCCTTAGAAGTGAGATAGCACAAAATAAATATAGGTACAGTTTGTTACCACATACCTTTAGAATTGCATAGCACTCTGGTACTGCAACACTCTCTGTATGTACCTCTATATATGTACACTTATACAAATGTATACAAATACCTCTCTATGTACATATACACATATATACACCAATTCACACTTTAAATTTAAACCTCTGTGTGTATATATATACACATCCATGTACATATACAACAGAAAGCAGATAGTCCCTATTTTCTATTCTAGTTTCTTTTCCCCTCCCAACTCTAATCCAGTATGAATTAGGTATGTTGTTACAGTGAAAATCCATGTTAGCACCTTTAATCTGCCATAAAAGCACAGCAAATTATTTCTGCGAAGAGATCTGGTCAGCTGCCTGAAACAGGAATCTTTTAACATTTTGGATGTTAAGGACTGTGAAACTTCTACCAAGTATACAGACAGGAATGTTCCTCAGAGGTTTATGTCTTGGCTAAATTCAATTTTTCATGAGGACTGTGATTTGTCACTTTTGTAAGAAAAACTGCAAGCACTGTGAAATTTTAAGTTCCTCCTCTAAATCATGAAGATTGGCCAAGTTTTTTTCTTCCCTCCTCCAAACCAGTAGCTCATGGAAAGATAAAAAATTCCTTTATTAAGCTTCAGAGTCTTTCTTCTGGAAATTAAGTCCTCTTGCTGTAATGATTCAGCAAGGAACTCACCTATTGCACTAGATGCAGATAGCTCTTGGTGGACTACAATCTGAGGCATTATCTTGCTATTTTACCTCAAAAATTATATCACTCACCAGCCTCCCTCAGTCACTAATCAGTCTGTTTTTACAACTCATTTCTTCCCTTTTCCCTTCTCCTCTCCTATTTTACTTTAGATGCAAAAGTAACTTCTAAACATACAAGCACACACTTCATTGACTTCATGCTAAATCATTATTAATAAGTGCTGCAGTACATAGTACAGCGAAACTGACCATGAACATAGCCTGGAACAGTGTCTAAAAATTACCCATACATGTAATTTTTGGAGTGTTTTTTTTTTGTTTGTTTGGTTTTTTTTTCAACTTCAGATACAATATCACAACGCAACAGTGTAGACATTCATATAACTGAAATAGTAAGGTCTCTTATATTACAAATTCAAAATCATTCTGCTATGAATTAACAACAAAAGTATTAATTTTTTAAAGAGAAAGCTTTTCAGGGTTACTTTGAACTTTGTCAGGAAAGCTTTTAACTCTTTTTTATCCTCCAGAAAATTGTCCACCATCTTTAGAATATTCCAGTCACTTCAACTTAAAACTTTTCCAAGTGGGTTATTTTCCTTACAGTTTCATTGCTAACTGAAATTAACATGTCAGTAACTAAACTGCAGTTACCCCTTGCTGATGCCACTGAATTATTCAAATGCACTGCCTCTGCTAAAATATGAAAAATAGCACAAGAGTCTTTCACAGAAATCCTTTGTTCCACAATGAACAGAAGAGACAAATATGTGCCTATATATACACACACTAATTAAGTGGGTTATTCATCAGGCTAGGAACATTCAAAATCTCTAGAGACCAAGTTAATAAGTAGATGAGTTTGCTTCTATTATTTATACTTTGAGAAAAATAAAAGCACTGATGGCTGTTTACTGGAAAGACATAAACTAGGATGAACTAGAAAACAATGTCCTAAATGGATGATTTTTTTTTCCCAAAGGACAAATACAGCATATTTTATAAGTACAGTTATTTCAGTATCTTCAATTCCTCGTGTTATTTTAGCTGCTTTATATTAGTACAGCACAAAGTTGTTTCTCTAGTGGAAAAGATGCAGGGTAAACCTGATGAGTCAGCATTCTGCTGTGCTTGGATTGTTAACACTTATCAACAATACGACTACCTCACTTTAGGAAGTATTCTCTTAAGGCATTCAGCCCTTTTGCAAAAATACAAAGAAGGTGTGTGATGTCATGCAGAATAGATTGCAGAAAGAAAAATTTCTTAAAAGAGAGGACAGTAATTCACTTCTTCACAGCTAAGGTAAATTTTCTGTTAGACTGCATTGCTGCAACTGCTGTATTTGTCATTTAGTCAGCTCCATCACATATGTACCCATCTGTTGATACAAGACTCCCTGAAGACTACTGCACGGATTTCTGGGGAAAAGGCACTAAAACTGTCATGCATTTAGCAGTCTTTCAACTGTAAGAATGGAAACTATATGTAATTTAATCTCCCAGCAGGTTTAATAAGTATGAAGAGAATGATTATAATGAGGGAAACCTTAAGCAGTGATAATTTACTTTAGTTTTACATGTGAGTAAATTCATATAGCTATTTTTTTACATATCTTTACCTAAACTTTTGTATAACTAATATATTACATTAATTCACGTTAGCTTTACATGTAACTAACTTTCAATGGAAAGTGAACCACATTAAATAAAACAGAGTTAGCCATTTTAACATCCTTTTCATGACTAATCTAATATTCAGCATCTGTACTACTGTCCAGATCCCTGACAGAGTCCAACTCTAGGGCAGCCATGTTGGTATCCAAAGGCACTGTGACCGAAAACTTATGCAGTAAATTAAATGCAATAAATAACAGAAGGGAAGAAAAAGGGTTGGTAATACCAACAAATTCTAGAAACATGGTTGAGTTAGAGTGTCCTAATGTATGAAAATCTAAATAATTTAAATATGCAGGAACTTACACTTTAAACAGACTATAGCATCAAACAGTCATGATCTGAATTTCTGCCATATTCAGATGGCATTTCATCAACTAGTTTCCCTTTGGTACAGTAGGTAGGAGTAGGAGGAATTCCAAGGAGTCACCTGGTACACATCTTTTCTGGGAGATAAGATCTGCTATCCCAGTGCCATTCTTGACAGCTGAACAAGCTGTAGCATGTCAGCCAGTTACTGTGGAACAATTGGTATGCAGCAATTGTTTGCGTGCATGTTCTTAGCGTGCTGCAACAACACAGTACCTAGTTAACACTTCTTCACTAAAAGCTGTATTTCCTCACAATGGCTGATTTATGAAGGACTCAGTGCCTTGCCATGGTCAACTATCACCAGTAAGTTCAAATAATGTGTCCTGTGATAATTTGCTCATGCTTTGTGTTTTTGAATGATTAATAGTTCTCTACAGATAATGAGGAAGACAGATTTTAGAATAACAGAATATCAGAACATCTTCCCAAGGTTTTTTAAAATGTCTATTTATTTTTCTGCACTGTGATTTTCTTTTTTTTTTTTTTACAGAGTGATTCTGAAAGAAAATGGGGATTCAGTTGATAGTAAAAAGGTGAAACATTTTTTCCAATGCCTTTTTGAAGCGTTAATAAGCAAGAACCATTCTTACTTTACACCTGGACTTTTCTTCAGTTCATTCTGCTAAGATCTTTGAACTGTATACGAAATATCTGCATACATCATAAATCAGTTTCTGACACACTATTTCTCCATTTTGAGTGCTTGTTTCATTTGTACAGTAACTAATGGACAAGTCAAGATCTGCCTCATTACACTAAATACCACATACCTGGAATTTTTCATCTGCCACTCTTTCCTCCTTAACTGTTCTTTGTAAACTATGTGGACTACCTACGTGATTAAATTGCTGATAAAAGAAATACCTTTTAAAGTGCCATCAACAGTATATTAATTGTTGTGTGAAGGATTCATGACTGCAGGCATACAAAAACATACTTAGCAGTTGCCTTAAAAGAATACAAGAAAACAGGTTTATTGTCCTACTTTTACCATTTCTGCAGCAGGAAAAGCCAAATGGAGAGGAGCAAAGGCAACTTCAAGCAAAGGAGGCATGAAATGTTTTTTGTCTTACAGCCTTGATGAAACTAAAAGCAATCTCAGGGCTTGAGAAACGCAAACATCTGTTAAATATAAAATATGATGGACAGACCACACAGGATGTACATTCATGTATTTACACGGACTGTGTGTAACAACACATTCACCAGTTCTCTATTGACACATTAGCCTTGAAAAAAGGGGTACCAGGTAGTTAGTAGAGAAACTATAAGATGAGAGATATCCTACTGCCATTATGATGATAGATGTAATAAATTCTTCAAGATGAATGTTTAAATTCACTTTTCAGTAATGCCTAATTATAAATTGCAACT